AAGCCTCAAGCCCCAAACTCTAAACCCTAAACCCTGAACCCTAAGCCCTTAAACCCTAAACCCTAAACCCTAAACCCTAAACCCTAAACCCTAAACCCTAAACCCTAAACCCTAAACCCTAAACCCTAACCCACCCCCAAACTGTTTCGGGCCTTTGGCGCTTTCGGGCTTTTGGGCTTCAGGGTCTTGCAAGCAACTCGTCAACCAGATGAAGCCGCGGCGCCTTGTCAGACTCTGAGAAGCCCCTTGCAAAGCATCAACCACCTGCGAAGAATGAGGGTTTAGGGTTTAGGGCTTACCTGTGACCCCAAACCCTACAAAATAGTAGGTTACGACCCCTTATTTAGAGGGTAGAACCCTTAAGACGGTACGTTTTTGGATCCCCAGGCAGTCATTCGAAGGTTTGGGGTTTTGTGTTTAGGGAGCTACCCTGAACCCTAAACCCGGCGTCTCACAGAAGTCCACAGACAAGATAGGTCGCATGCACACCTGAGGATGGGCACGCAGTCCGAATGCAGCAGCTTTTCCACCGGTGCCGGTTTTATGCCGAGGTAGCCATCGGGTTTTGGGTTTAGAGGAGCTTGGGAATGCTTTTTGTGTGGTTTTTTGGGTTTAGAGTTATACTGTTGAGGCTGTATGCAGGCTTTCTCGGAAGCCCTAAACCGTGATAGAGGCTTGTAGAGGGCTTTAGGATTTGGATTTCGGGCGTGGTGGGGTTCCTCATAGTTTCGTGGATTCGCGAGGCCCCTCATCCAAACAAGCTTGATGGGGCTTGCTTAAATTGTGGCAGGGTCGCTCAACACACGACCCTTGACCCTAAATTCTATCCCGAAGCCCTAAACCCTAAACCCTAAACCGTATCTAAACCCTAAAATGGGGTTTAGGGTAACGCGCGCCTCAATGACCATGGGGTGTTGGCAGTTTTTTTGTGTGCTTAAGGCTTCCCTGATTTGGGGGGTGGCGGTACCATCATCATCATCATCCTTCGGCAAACCCTGGTAAGAACAGTACTTTCACATCATCACAGCATGTGCATCATCATCATCATCATCATCATGATGATCTTCATCACCATCGTCACCATCATCACCATCATCACCAGTCTAATAGTGGCTTTTCCTTTATGTTCCGTTTCGATGCTCCAAAGCAGCTGTCGACGGACCTTAGTCGGTTGGCAGACGCCAAGAACAAGAACAAATTCGTGAAACAAGAGGCCGGCTGCACACTTTGTTTTCGGAAGTTTTGAAATCTGCCACTGGGGCCAGTGTTTTCGTGCTTCGACACACAAAACCCTGGTAAAAACTGTACTTTCAAAGCATCCAATATAAACTTCTCTTAAAGAACAGTGCAAGCAGCCCCTTTACAGAGTTTTCTAATTTTAGGCACCCAGAGACGATGTCAAAACCCCATGGTCATTAAAGCGCGCGTTACCGGCTTTAGCGTTTAGGGTGAAGCCGCTAGTCACTCATCGTTCATGCGGCGAGTCGAAGAGGGATGAAATTAGAAACGTAGATAACACCTCTGCAAAGTGTTTCAAGTTGGTCTTCCTTGGGGGTTTGGTACCAAACCCTAAACCCTAAACACCTCAACGTTCCTTACGCACAATCCGGGAGCGATCTCGCGCAATTAAGTGAGCCGGTCGAATGCAAGCCCGGGATGATTTAGGGTTTGTAGGGTTTAGGGATTGAGGGGTTTAGGGGTTTACAGTGTGTACCTCCCAGAAGGTCTTGCCACAGGTTTCTGCGGCGACTTTGCCAAGGTTTCAATCTCGCACCCAACGCCTACAGCCTTAATTACTGGTTTACTGTCCCTAAACCCTAAACCCTAAGCACAACCCCCCGAAGCCCCCAGCAGTCTAAACCCGAACTGCAAAATTAAAGCCCAGTGGAACCCTATGTCGTACATCATTAGCCCTAAACGCTACAATTGAACCCCCATGAAGCCTTATAAAACCCTGTGAAATCAAATGCCAACCTTATAAACCTCTATGAATCCCCGATGAAACCTTACAAAACGCTGAGACCCTTCAAAACCTTGCAAAACAAGTCATGTCAAACCCCAGTGAAACTCTATAACTCCCCTATAAAACTTCATGAAACCCTATATAATATTCCCTAAACCCTAAACCCTAAAACTCTACAACCCTAAACCCTAAAACCCTAAACCCTAAAACTCTACAACCCTAAACCCTAAAACTCCAAACCCTAAAACTCTACAACCCTGAACCCTAAAACCAAAAACCGTATATAATATTCCCTAAACCCTAAACCCCAAAACTCTACAACCCTAAACCCTAGAACCCTAAACCCCAAAACTCTACAACCCTAAACCCTAAAACCCTGAACCCTAAAACTCTACAACCCTAAACCCTACAACCCTAAACCCTATATAATATACCCTAAACCCTACACCCTAAACCATATATAATATACCCTAAACCCTAAACCCAAATATACCCTAAACCCTAAACCCAAATATACCCTAA